CCGGTCGACCGAAACCTCGTCACCTACCAAAGCCCGACGGGTGCCTGCGCGCCGCCTCGTCTCCAGCATTCACGTCGGCATCGCCGGCCTCCTCGACCTCGTCCTCGGCTTCGGTTGAGGCCGCGCGCGCGTCGTCTTCGGCGCCTTCGGCAATGCCCTCAAGGTCCAGCCCGCCCGCAGCTGCTGGCGCCAGCGCAGCGTGCTCCACCGCCGGGGCCGCGGCGCCGTCGACCGGGGCCTCCTCGCGCGCGGAGACGAGGCCCAACTTGCCCGCCAGGTACCCCACGTCGACCTCGGAGGCCGGCGGGCGCTGGCCCCAGTCAACGACCGGGGCGCGCGGCGGGGGGTGCTCCTCAGCGTCAATAGAGGCGACGTATGCGGCCAGAGTCGGCGTCGTCTCTTCGGAGATCCCCAGCTCCGCGAGCACGGCGACCAGGTCTGGCCGGGTCGTCTTCCGCTTGACGAAGAAGCATGCTGCCCAGAGGTCTGCCCCGGGATGGCGACCGTCGCCACGGTCGCCCCAAAGCCCAGCGCCTGGAGCACCTTCGCCGCAATGAAGAGGAGAAGAATCGTGTGCTCGTAGAAAAAGGCACCCTTGGTCACGGCCTTCACGCGCCGCGCCACAGTGGCGGACTTCCCGCAATAGAAATACTGCCCGGGCTCCGCCAAGATCACGTGCATGATGTCCACCAGCGCGGGGAGAGAGCAGCCGTAGAGGGGGAACTTGTCCAGAGTGGCTTTGAACACCTCGGTGCCCATGGACATGACCTTGTTCAACTCTTCCTTGGTCCACGACCACTTGCCCGTCATCTTGCCCGCGACGGTTTCGGTCAGCATGATCGCGTCGGCATCGGCGGCCGCCCACGTGTCCACAGGGGCAGGGGCAGGTGGTGCAGGGGGGCGGCCGGGCGCCTCTCCAGGCTGCGTCGCCTGGGACGCGCGGGAGCCTACCTCCTGCGGAATGCCGTGGCCGTTCCGCGCGAAGTCCAAGATCTTCCAGGTGTGCTCGCACTTCTCCGCCAGCAAGTAAGCCACGGCGACGGCTTTCTTGGAAACCACTGGGGGCGCCGAGAAATTATGCGCCCAGTTGTCGTCAAGGCGGTACTGCGCTGGCGCGGTCGACTCGCGGAACCTCTGGCAGACCACGTGCAGGGCGTGCATGGACAAGGCCATGCGGTCGAATTTGGTCCGGAGCTTACCGCGGTACTTGGACTCCTGATGCCTCCCAGGCTGGAGGAAACATTGCCGCTGCAAATCCATATGGCCGTCGAATTGTCCACGAGCTCGCTGGCCCCGTCCTCGGTCGAAGCCTTAACAAACTTCCCCTTGCGCGACACCGACCACTTGAAGAGCGGCAGCAACACGCCGGCCACGAAGTCGGCGGGCTTGCGCGACCGCACGGGGAGCTGCGCACATGCCTCGCGGATCTGCCTGATGGTCAGCCACTGGGGCTCCGCGAAGCTCGCGGCGAGGCGCTCCCGAAGCCCGAAAGCATCGTTAATCGTCGCTTTGAAGGTTTCCGGAATGTGGGCCCCGGCAACGAACCCGAACCAGGGTGCGTCAACCGAGAAGGCGCGGGCTTTGTCCATGACTGGACGATGCCAAGCGTTGCCGTCCCAGAGCCTCCCGGGAACAACTTTGTCTACGCCCATCTCGTTCTGGAACCAGGAGAACACGCCTTCGACCTCGCACTCCGCGGCGAGCGCGGCGCCGCGATTTTGATGGCAGCTCATTATCATGCCGTTCGCGGGCAGAGAGGCACCGCCAGCCAACACCTGCGACGCGGAGGTGGATCATATTCACCGCGCTCCTCCGCCGACAGAGCGTTGTAATGGGCGTCGTAGCTGTCAGTCTCGTACTTGTGCAGGCGATTGACGAGCTTCGTCATCGCCTTCGTCACGACGCTGATGACGCCCGAACTGTTCGTGGCGCCAGGGTGAATCAGGATGCTCCATAGGGACGACTGCACCTCGATTGAAGGGGCCGTCTCGAAGTGGTCCTCGGGAATCAAAGCACCAACGCACGCGAGTAGCGCGAGCAGCACCCACTCCCAGTGGACTGCCAGACACTTGGCCAGCATCTCGGACACCTCAACCACCTCCGGACAATGCTGGACAACCGTCTCGCGATCAAGCACGGGGCACGCCCTGAAGGCGCGGAGCATCTCATCCTCAGACGGCGGCTCCCGCTTTGCCATGGCGGCGGCGGCCGTAGGTGAGTGAGCCGGGCGGACTGTAACAAACTCTCCGGTTGCTAAGCCTCTGGCGGGCCCTGGTGCCGAATATCTAGCGGGGCAGGGCACAGTAAGCAAATCAATGGCTGTAGCTGTTACCGCTTCGATGGCAATCGCGGTGACGAGGATGACGGAGAGAAATCCTGATCGGGGCGAGTGGGGTGAAGAAAAACAGGTGTCGCCGGCCTCGCAAGTGGCGCCAGTTTTGCCCATTGCGTCACGTTGTCGTGCTAGTTGTAGCCCACTGTGGCTCAAGCACTTATTGGCTGAAGTGACAGTGGCATCCTCTGATACGAACGTACATCGTCTAATCTGAGATGTCGGCTTCAGCTGACGGAATCCAGCGTTTGACTCTCACTTGTGAGGATCTCCACTAGTTTAAACTATGTCTACGCAAGTGAACGCCACGAGGGTCTCCACTATCTTGAATTTCTCTACACAGGTGGATTCTCACTTGTGAGGATCTCCGCTATGTTAACTGTGTTTACGAAGACAATGGCAAGGATGAGGGTGATGATGACGATGATGACGAAGAGGGATGATGGGGGGAGAAGGAAGGAGGAAAATCCGCTACCGTGCCCCTGGCACGTTGAGGCGTGTTAGAATGCCAAATGCTGTCTGGCAAGGTTTGTGTCATCTTCTCAGGGCCCCCCCCCGCCGGCCGCGTCCACCTGCATGACTCGACCCCTCGTTTCGAGGATCAGTCGGCCGCCAGACACGTCCCTGGCGGTCTCCAAGGCGTCCACAATGTCCAACATACCTTCCAAGACGGACCTGAAAGGCCACCAAAGCTGCCAAGATGACCGAAGATGCCTCCCAGACGACCCAAGAGGCCCCAAAGAAACCCCAACCCCAAGAGCGCTCCAAGAGGACCCCCAAGAGGGCCCAAAGAAGCAAAAATCATTGATTTCCATTGTGTTGTTTACCGTTTTTCACGGTATCGCCTGTTTCGAGCTTCCGACATTCCAAAGAGGCCCCAGGGGCCCCCAAGATCACCCTAAGCAAATGGCCTTCAAGAAAATCCCACGACAGCCCAAGAGGGTCTCAAAACGGCCCAAGAGGCGCCCAAGACAGCCCAAGAGAGCCCCAATACGGCCCCAAAAAGGGCCCAAGAGGGGGAAGACGAACCGAAAATTCGAGCCTTTCGCCCGAAGAGGCCCCCAAGAGGCCAAAAGAGGCCTTCAAAAAGCCCCCAAGGTCTTGAAAAATGTTCCCAACAAGCCCCCAAGAGGCCTCCCACGATATCCCCGCGATCATCATCATCATCATCATCATCATCAGCATCATCAGCATCATCATCATCATAATCATCATCATCATCATCATCATCATCATCATCAGCATCATCATCATCATCATCATCATCATCATCATCGTCATCGTCATCGTCATCATCATCATCGTCATCACCATCATCATTATCATCATCGTCATCGTCATCGTCATCATCATCATCATCATCATCATCATCACCATTTTCATCATAATCATCATCATCATCCTCATCATCCTCATCCTCATCCTCATTCTCATCCGCATCATCGTCCTCATCCTCATCCTCCTCCTCCTCATCCTCATCATCATCAGCAGCAGCATCGTCATCGTCATCGTCATCGTCATCAGCACCATCATCATCATTATCATCATCAGCATCATCATCATCTTCACCATCATCGTCATCATCATCAGCAGCAGCACCGCCACCATCATCCCCCTCATCATCATCACCACCAACATCATCATGATCATCATCACCACCACCATCCTCATCGTCATCATCACCGTTATCATGTTGTTCATCCCTCGCGAGTACGGCCTCCGGTGCCCCCTAAAACGAGAGCCGCCGAGCATACTGAACTGGAATGGCATGGTGGCGGGACTTGCCGCAGGCAACTGGATAAGAAAAGGAACGCGGGGGCGCTGCTGGTTCAAAACGAGGATGGTTGGAAACAAAACGATCTTGGGACCCCGGGGCCTCTCCTGGAGCGCGTTCTGACCAGGCTTTCGAGGCGAATCCAGCCGTGGCGACGAGGACGCCCTGGAGGGCAGCAGACGCGTGAGAGGTGTGCGGACATGGGCGCGGGACGCCATGTGGGCACCCCCACGGGGGCAATAGGGGGAACTCCCTGTGGCCCCATAGGGAGCTCCACCGAACGCTTAAGTAGGAGGGCCCATATGCGGTCACCCCACCCTTTCGGCACACCCCTCACGAGGATCTAGGCCCCATGAGGAGCTCCACCAAAGGCTTACTACGTGAGTAAGTAAGAGTGCCTGTATGCGGTCACCCCGCCCTTTCGGCACACCCCTCACGAGGGTCACGGCCACATAAGGAGCCCCAACGAAGGCTTAAGTAGGAGGGCCGGGAAGAGGTCACCCTACCCTTTCGGCTCGGCCCTCACTCGGAGCATGGCCACATAGGGAGCTCCACCGAAGACTTAGGTAGAAGGGCCCGCGTGCGGTCACCCTACCAATTCGGCACACCCCTCACGAGGATCTTTGCCAGTTGCGCAAGTTGCGCCTGTTGCGCCAGTTGGTTGTCCCAGTTGCGCCAGTTGCGCCAGGTTCGCCAGATGCACAAATTGCTCCAGTTGCGCCACTTGAGCCTGTTGCGCCAGTTGCGCCAGTTGCACCTGATGTTCCGGTTGCGCCAGTGGGTGTGCCGAGATCCACGGGGGGACGCTCTGCGGATCCTGCCACTGCTGGGACCTGTTGTGCCAGTTGTGCCAGTCGAGCCCGGATGGGGCCACGAAACGCGTGAGAGGTGTGCCAAAAACCTCTGAGTGACGCTGTGCGGAACCTGCCGCTGCTGGGACCTCTTGTGCCGGCTGTTTGAGGCTCGACCCGACCACCGTTTGGATCTGTGATGCCAGTTGTCTTCGGCGGCGTCGTCGTCGTGACAACGACGACTCCGACGACTCCAATGACGACGACAACTCCGGCGACAACACAAATCCAACGACGATGACAGCCACGACTCCGACTCCGACTCCGACTCCGACGACGACGAAGACGACGACGACGACGACAACTCCGACGCCGATAACAACGACGACGACTCCGACGACTCCGACGACTCCGATGACCCAGACAACGACGACGACGACGACGACGACGACGACGACGACGTCGACGATCACGACTCCGATGGTCACGGCGGCGACGACTACCACTCCGACGACTCCAAGTCCGACGTCGACGGCAACGGTGACGACGACGACGGCGACACTGACGATAACGCCGACGACGACTCCGACGACTCAGACTACGTATGACGACGACGACGGCTCTGACGAAGACCACTCCGACGCCAACGGCGAAAACGACTCTGGCGACGACTCCGACTCCTACGGCTCCGACGACGAAGAGGGCGCCGGCGAATTCGACGCCGACGGCAACGGCGGCGGCTGCGACGAACCCGACGATACAAACGACGACGACAATGGCGACTCCGACTCCGACTCCGACGACTATTACAATTACTCCGACTACGACGACGGCGACGGCGACGGCGACGGCGACGGCGACGGCGACGAAGACAACGACAACGACAACGACGACGACGGCAACTCCGACTCCGACGACAACGACGACGACCCCAACGACTACTCCAACAACTCCGACTCTGGCGACGATTGCTGACGACGGCACCGGAACCAGCAACCGCAACCGGCACCTGAGAGGAATGGGGAATGAGGGATGATCCCCATCCGGAACCGGAACTGGAACCGGAACCGGCATCTCTGCACATTCCGACCCAAAGCTGCCAGCGATATCGATGACGGATTGGGATGATCCCCATCCGGAACCGGAACCGGAACCGGAACTGGAACCGGCACCTGAGAGAGATGATGATGATGGATGATCCTTATCCGGAACCAGAACTGGAACCGGAACCAGAACCGGCGGACTGCCAGCGGTAGGGATGATGGATGGAGATGATCCCCATCTGGAACCGGAGCCGGAACCGGAACCGGCACCGGAACCAGCAACCGGAACCGGCACCTGAGAGGGATGGGGATGAGGGATGATCCCTATCCGGAACCGGAACCGGAACCGGAACCGGCATTTCTGCAAATTCCAACCCAAAGCTGCCAACGGTACGGATGACGGATTAGGATGATCCGGAACCGGAACCGGAAAAGGAACCGGAACCGGAACTGGAACCGGCACCTGAGAGAGATGGGGATGAGGGATGATCCCCATCCGGAACCGGGACCGGCACCGGAACCGGAACCACAACAGGCACTGTCCTGCATTTCCGCAAATTCCTAACCAGAGCTGCGAGCGGCAGGGACGATGGATTGAGATGATCCCCATCCGCAACCGGAACCGGAACCGGAACCAGCACTTTCCTGCATGTCTGCAACGTCCAACTCAGAGCTGCCGGCGGCAAAGATGATGGATTGGGATGATCCCCAACCGGAACCGGAACCGGAACCGGAACCGGAACCAGCACTTTCCTGCATGTCTGCAACGTCCAACCCAGAGCTGCCGGCGGCAGCCATGATGGATTGGGATGATCCCCGACCGGAACCGGAACCGGAACCGGAACCGGAACCGGCACTTTCCTGCATGTCTGCCACGTCCAACTCAGAGCTGCCGGCGGCAAATATGATGGATTGGGATGATCCCCAACCGGAACTGGAACCAGAACCGGAACCGGAACCAGCACTTTCCTGCATGTCTGCAACGTCCAACCCAGCGCTGCCGGCGGCAAAGATAATGGATTGGGATGATCCCCAACCGGAACCGGAACCGGAACCGGAACCAGCACTTTCCTGCATGTCTGCAACGTCCAACCCAGAGCTGCCGGCGGCAAAGATGATGGATTGGGATGATCCCCAACCGGAGCCGGAACCGGAACCGGAACCGGAACCAGCACTTTCCTGCATGTCTGCAACGTCCAACCCAGAGCTGCCGGCGGCAAAGATGATGGATTGGGATGATCCCCAAACCGGAACCGG